CCTGACGAACCTTGTGGAACCTGTTTCTCATACCATGTTCAATAACAGGCACTGGGTATTCCAACAAGATTCGGCGCCAGCTCATAGAGCGAAGAGCACACAAGACTGGCTGGCGGCGCGTGAAATCGACTTCATCCGGCACGAAGACTGGCCCTCCTCCAGTCCAGATTTGAATCCGTTAGATTACAAGATATGGCAACACTTGGAGGAAAAGGCGTGCTCAAAGCCTCATCCCAATTTGGAGTCACTCAAGACATCCTTGATTAAGGCAGCCGCCGATATTGACATGGACCTCGTTCGTGCTGCGATATACGACTGGCCGCGCAGATTGAAGGCCTGTATTCAAAATCACGGAGGTCATTTTGAATAAACTTTAGTGTCATAAGAATCTATGTTTTGTTAAGTTCATTTTGGTATATGAATGGTTACATAATGAATAAACTTGTTTCAATTATTTTACATTAAACATGTGACAGAATTTATGACCTGACTAGGTAGAGATAAATAACGAGATACAATAAGTCTACAAATACAATTAAAATATACAAATCTTTAGACAAGATGTGTTGTAATTATTTATATTGAAACGAATATTTCATACGTTTTTAGACGGCCATTTTCATCTTATTTTAGATTACTACTATCACTACTGATAGATTTGATTAACTCTTTAACTCTATGATAAAAATGTTCATTAATTGTAGATTGTTTATGTCAAGAAAACGATTGATTTATAGGCAAAAGAAGTTTCTGTTTGTATAAATATCAGTTTTTTATTTGCTTCAAATGAGTAAAGAGCTCACGGTTAATCTAATGATAAGTAGATAGCGGAGTCCGTAGACAAAGTATCAGCTAAATTAAGGGTTAAGGTCGAAGCCTGAATAGTGTTAACGTTTGCCTTACCCTTGAAGCTGGAATGTGTGATAAAAGTAGGCAGGATCGTCCAGATAAATCCAGTCGTGTCGGGTCACAATACTTCACTAATAATTACGGAAAATTTAAAATAGCTGTCGCTTGTTTGAGTTTTAATATTATTTTATTGGATTTGGTAACCTGGATGTAGTAGCTTCACTTAATAAGAGTGCACCGGGTGTCTTTAACTCCTGGGTGACTTTATCTTAAGTAGGAAGACCAGCTTAAGATCTCCGAAAATGTAACATTTAATTTATGAAAAATCGTTATATTCTAATTTAACTTAAATAAGATAGGTTAGCTACCGAGTCAAGTGATTTTAAGAATATTCAACTCAGTCTTTGCTGACGTGAAGTAAGTTAATCAATCAAAAGTATGAGCCCATTTATTGTACAGAAATTTACGTACTTTAATCTCACCCTTACCCGCCAAGATAAGGCTCGTTCAGTAAACTTAAATAGCTACGATCAACTTTCGCCTTACCTTAGTAAAACCTGTTATATAAAATTTGCATAGAAATTAGTTTTGTTTACTCCTCTTGGATCCGAAAGCGTGTAATAGGATTCCCATAAACTGCTCGATCCTAATTGTCACCTATCTATGCAGATAAATGTTCAGCAGCTCGAAAATGTTATTTGATTCTGCCAACTACAATAAACTGAGACTTTGACGTAATGGGGTGTTGCTGGTATCATTGAACTATATTTTGTTGTTTTATAATATTAATATCCGTCAGAATAATCCAGAAGTTCTAAATATTACAATATTAACATTAAATTAATATTAAAATATGTATTTAAATATTTCTTTTATAATTAACTACTCTTAGTTACTGTATTTATAAATCATTAAGGTAATTGGATAAAAAGTTTTGTAATGTAATCAACTTCACTTTCACAAGCTGTTTGAGGTCAGCAATAATTGAAATCCATCATTACCTTTGGAAATTTGGCCGAATTGAATCGAAGCACTCTGCGAAAGTAATGAGCTTAATCCGGCAATTTTATTTGTACTCTGTGCTTCTGACTTCTGATCAAAATTGAACATTGAATTTCAAAGTTAAAGGTTTTTATTTTTTTTTAAATTAAAATATGTGCGGATAAAAATCAAAAAGCAAACGGATATTTTCAAAAGTTTCTTTTTGTGAATTAATTATACGATTTATACTATATAATATATATGACAATAATTTTTTTTATTGCCCTTGTAAGCAGACGAGCACACGGCCCACCTAATGGTTAGTGGTTACCGTCGCCCATGGACTTCAGCAATGCCAGGGGCAGAGCCAAGCCACTGTCTACATATGACAATAAAATGTCTTTGAATGTTTCTAAAAGCTGTACAAATAACATTGGAATACGAAAACGATTCTTAATCTAAAGCTACAGAATAGGAGACATTTGAAAGGAGACCTTTAGTCGTTATTATTCCGGCTAAGTACTTAACAAGAAAGGTTGAGCGAAATATGCCGTCCGAGTATCCCCGAAGGTTTCCACGTTATAGAGCTGCAATTACCATAATCCTTCCGCAAATGTATTCGGTGCACGCGAGTAGCCCTTGTTCGTCTTAATTACAGCCGTTATGATGGACGATTTTGTCTATTCTGAATACTGAATTACATTACCGTTTTGAATCTCATTAGCTGAACGTTATCATTACAATTTAAATTACGAAATCACTTGATGAGAATTGATCTCTGATTTACATTTCCGTGTTTTCTTTGTGAAATGACATGTACGACTCTTTAGACAAGATACGTCGTACTTATTAATATTGAAAGGAATGTTTCATACGTTTTTAGATGGCCATCTTGATAGATTCATCTTATTTTGTCATTGTATTATTTGACACAATTGAATCTTCTACTATTGATAGAAGTGATTAATTCTAAGATTTAAATGTTCATAATTAGACGATCGTTTATGTCACGGAAACAATTGATAAGTACACAAAATAAATTTCAGGTGGTAGGACCTCTTGTGAGTCCGCACGGGTAGGTAACACCGCCCCGCCTATTTCTGCCGTGAAGCAATAATGGGTTTCGGTTTGAAGGGTGGGGCAGCCGTTGTAACTATACTGAGATCTTAGAACTTATATCTCAAGGTGTGTGGCGCATTTACGCTGTAGACGTCTATGGGCTCCAGTAACCACTTAACACCAGGTGGGCTGTGAGCTCGTCCACAAAACTAAGCCATAAAAAAAAAAAGTTTGTACAAATATGAGAGTATTTTATTTGCTTCAAATGAGCAAAGGGCTCACGGTATTGTGAGTATAACTGTATTCATACTTTGACTACTTCTAAGCTATGTTCTAAGCTATGTCTAAGCTATGCTATGCTATGTATATGTTCGACATTCTACTTTAGTATCGAATCGGTTGAGTTGCTTTTTTTTTTAAATGTAATTGTACAAAGCAGGGCAATCATTTATATTCTCTGTCAAAAAACAATAGGAATAGCTTTCGGAACATTCAATAGTACATGTTAGTGAGAAGAAACTATCAAAAACGAATCGAACCCAGCCCTTTTTGCTTTGATTTGATTTTGATGCGATCGCTATCAAACTAAATAAAATTCCCCTTAACGCTAATCCGAAGATTTCGTGTAAATTTCATCGGACTCAGTCCAGCCGTTTCTGAGTATGACGAGTTCTGATTTCTGAGTATAGCGATGATACTCATACTTATCAATGTCACTTTGTATTATAAGACTTGAGATTTTGTACTCCATTAACTCAAGGCGTACTGCCTTTATAGCATTTTCTTTCATTTTTATTTTTTATTTTTTTTATTGCCAAATTGGCTGGACGAGCTCACAGCCCGCCTGGTGTTAAGTGGTTACCGGAGCCCATATACATCTACGACGTAAATGCCACTACCCACCTTGAGATATAAGTTCTAAGGTCTCAATATAGTTACATTATTACTATATTTATACTATTATATACTTATTATATACTATATATACTTATTACTATACTATAGTTACATATATTTAAGGACGTAACGTAACATAACAGGTACGCTATTCTATGAATTTGTTAGCGGCAGTTGTAGGTATCTATGATTTCGTAAATACTTGCAAATGGCGAGGCACACAATGAGATCGCGATAGGCCGGTGTTACGTGAAAATATAGCGGAGTCGCTGAATAAATTCGAACTTTCATTTTCTGCATTCATCTATATTCCAAGTGAAGATAGGATCGTGGACTAAATCGGATTTCTCTGATGATATTGTTTAAACCGGCGTCTAAGGGTAAGGTCAGAGAATGGAAACAGCGTCGGGACCGGATCTCCTCAAGCTTTAGAGCCGGAATTTCCGTGTAGGAATGTACTTCCTAATGCTGAGTGCGTGAAATTGAGTTACTCGTACGTAGTTATAATCCGATACTGGTCGGTACATGTGAATTTCAAACTGTATTTACTCAACTATAAAATGATGGTAGGTCACGTCAGTGAAGTTTTTATTATCGACAAAATTTTATGTTCGGTTGAAACAAAAGTAAAAAACAACCTTTCTAAATAATTATTTTTATTCGTAACCAAAAACTTTTTTTACAAACACAACAACTTTTGAACAGCTAAAACTATTAATAATAATATTTTAAATCGTTTGAAAAGAAAATGCAATTAATTAAAAAATCTATATTTTGATATTTTTGTTACCAAAATTTATTTACGAATTGACAATTTTTAAATTATACTCAATACAGATTATACAGTTCATATTTTAGGGAGCTAGCTAACAGATATTGTAATTTACATTAGGTCAATTTAAATTTACATTATAAGAATGATCATAGGGAAAATGTTTTACAAGACCTCACCTACTTATTTGTAAACATGATTATTGACTAAATGTGAAGGTCCCATCCATATCAACTATGTTACGTTAATCTAATTTTGTTTTAAAGATTATTTAACGATTTTCATCAGGAAGATCGTTTTTATTTTAATGAATGTCCTTTATAAACTCCAGAATAAAACAACACTGATCACAAAAAATAATATTCTACAAAACAATAAACTATATTTGAACTACATCTGTGATGATTGAAAAAAAATTTTTTTTTGTATTGTAGTATGGTCATGTCCAGACGTCCGCGTCACGTTAAATGATTGGATCGAACGATAAATTCGAAAATTTGTATACATCATTCAAACAGATGTAGTGATTTGTTCTATGAGATGATGTTCACGTCGCCGGCACGCACCGCGACAAGAGCCGGCGCGACCCCACGATGATGTGCGCGTCGCCAGGCCCTCTGGGACGCTGCGGGATGAACGCAATGGCACCGTTTGACGGTAACAGTCCGGGCAGTGCGTAGCCGAGCAGCATGCCCTATCTAAAGGTGCTGCGTACGACAATGATTTGGGTAGCCGCGCACCGCAAGCTGGTCCCGGCCACGCACAGTATGCGGCCGCGCCTCCAGCACCGCACGCGCACCACGCGCCCCCTGCCCCGCACCGCAGGGGACTCGTACACCGACAGGACTCCGATATGGAGGGAGCGGCAGCGGGCGGAGGGGGTTCCGGCTCACGTTTCGAAAATCCAACGAAAAACAAAAGGAACGCGCCCGCCAATGTTGCCGCCGTCGAAAAATAGAATCCCGCTCTGGGAGCTTGCTGGTTTATGTAGCCTGTTACGGGAACGCCTACTATAACAGGGATTGCTTCGGCTCCTTGAACGTAACCTAAAAATGAAATTACGGTCAGCTCTGAATAACCGCATACTTTTTTTTTTCTCAAAGAAGTTCCTCACCCCAAACTTTAGTGAAGTGTCGACCACGAACCCTTTCCATCGTCAGCATTTTCAGGGAATACAGATATCCGCCGAGACATAGCCCGTACATCCACGCGAAAAGGACATAGCCGTGGTAACCTTCGACGCTGCTCAGAGCGAGCATTGAGATGCCTGTGACAGAGAGACGTGTAAGTATTATGCGATAATAAATAATATTATAGTTTAAAAAAATCCAACTAAAAAATAGAAAATAAATTTTAATGAATTTGAATTAAAAAAAGTGTAAGAGAAAATTATTTTATTGTAAAAACGCGTAAAAAAAATTTTTTCTTTTTTTTTTATATTATATTGTCATCGGTCCTTAATAATTATACCGAATTTCGACCTAATCCGACGTTTTGAAGGGGGTCAAAATCATGTTCAAAGATTCCCTTACATACGAGTACTAACATACTAACATACATACACGTCTGAAGCTAATAAAAGCGTATTAAAATACCTTAAAAAAAATTGTTCACGAGCATACCTATACCGAGCATCGCTGTTTGACATAAGTACTGCTTAGAGACCAGACATTGCGCCGAAGGTCGTACAAGAACGAGTCCAAAGCCTGCACACCCGAGCACCGCTGCGAATCCCAAAAACGTCTGTAGCAGCACCAAAGCACTCTCCTCTAAGCCCTCCTGAAATCCCTGTAAAGCCTGCGAAAAGCGTTCGAAGATTTTAATCAGCGAAAACAGAGAGTTATTCTGAACTTCCTCAATTAAACTTACCAGAAAAAATACTGGGGTATAAAGTCCGAAAGCCGCTAATCCGGCGGCCAACAACAAAACTTTCGCGGGTCGAGATTGAAGTGGGCTTAGATCAATAAGTGGAGGTCGTTTTATACCCTTTTTTTCCTTCACCTTTAATGAAAAAAACATTCATTTATAATCCGTCCTAAATAACGTTGACTTTAAATTACTTGCGATTCGGCGTTAATTTGAAGTAAAGATGATGGGGATTTTAGCGTCTTAATTAAAATTTTCATTTCTTTGTCGAGTCATTACTCTGCTACGTGAAATTTGAGGAATTGTTTTAAATGAAAACTGTATGTACCTTTCGACGTTGATTTTTTAAATGTAATATAGCTCTGCGTTGAGGATGGTATAAAGAGGCACTGCGGTAAACAGCACTTAGAAAAAATGCCAAGACTAAAACTCCCGTGACCGCTTGCAATCCTAATCGCCAACCAAGCTTTCTGAAACAATTGTTTATCGATGTATATAAAAATGAATTGCTGTTCGTTAGTCTCGCTAAAACTCTAAATTTTGTTTTTCCTTTGATTTTAAGTTTATTTTATACAAAAGTTTAGGTCTTTTATTTATCGATTCAGGCACTACAAAGTCTGCCGGGTCAGCTATTTGTTAATAAATTATATGAATAGACCAGATAGAGATCTCTTTGCCTTCTTAATAAGTTAACTTCACACTGTGGTGACTGGTAATGTAATCCTGAAAGTTGTTTTCTGTTTCATAGCGATTCATAGTTAATACTACGCCGGGTTCAACTGTCACAACCTTGAAGTATAGGCCGTGCTTATTCCGGGTCCCTATCAGCTGTTCCAAGGTAGTTCGATGCTTGTAATCAAAATAACTTAAGCTTCTGTATGTTTGTAATACCTTGTTTGGAACATATTTTGAATTTGAGACTACACATTACAATTAAATTAGGATAATCACCAAATATACACTCGCGAGCAAAAGTTTGGAATCACTTACTTGAAATTGATTCCGCGCGATCTTGTGTACTAAATATTTTTTTGATAATCATAAAAATGAGATCATTTTAAAGGTTGAATTGCTAACTTTAAACTGATACCAAATTTATTAAAATCAAGCCAGTATTTAAGAAGTTATCTTGGATTAAGTAAAGGAATAACGAAAAAGACGTGTTTCAATAGCTTGATACGTCGCGAGTTGCGGCCTACTGACCCCTATAAAAGCACCTGTTATCGGATTTTCTTTATCAGTCGACTTTCACACGTTGACTGGTACATATCTCGGCTACTTTTGACCCTTTACCTTGTACGACAATTGGGACAACACCTACAGAAGTAGCACAAATCGTAGTCCTATTGCAAGAAGAGCTCAGCCAGCGGATTGTCGCTCGTCGGCTCCAAATAAGCCATTCCTGTGGTTCAAAAGTTTGCAAGCGCTTTCAAGAGACTGGTAGCTTTATCCCGAGACCAAGATCTGGACGGCGCCGGGGCACATCGGAGAGGAATGACCGTTTTATCGTGTTAACCTCTCTCCGAAATCGGCATTAACCTGGTGTCGACGTCCAACAGGAGCTCCGAGATGTTCGTAGGGTAGCAGCTAGCAAGTAGACAGTTCGTCGACGACTCAAGCAAGCGAATCTGACTCCAAAAAGGCCTGTCACAGGCCCGAAACTCACGGTAGCTCATCGACAAGCACGCCTTCAATTTGCTCGTACCAATCTTAATTGAGAGGTTGAGCAATGGAGGCAAATCCTGTTCTCCGACGAGAGCAGGATGTGTTTGCATGGTAGCGACCGAAGAGGTTGGGTCTACAGGCGGCCTGGGGAGCGATTGCGCAGTGCTGTTTCGCTGAAACAGTGGCTTATGGGGTCGGCTCTTGTATGATGTGGGCCGGCATTTCCTTCGACGGTAAAACCGAGCTTGTTTTCGTGCCTGGTGGGGAACGAGGAGGCGGTCAACTTCGGACGGGTACATTTCCAATATTCTGCTGGAACATGTCGTTCCCTATGCGGGATATGCCGGTGATAGCTTCCTCCTTAAGCACGATAACGCTCGTTGTCACACTGCCCGTGGAACAACTGAATACTTCGAAGAAGTCTATATCGCCACATTGGACTGGCCTGCGCTCAGCCCTGTCTTGAATCCTATTCAGCACGTGTGGGATGAACTGAAGAATAGGGTTCGTTCCAGAACTTCTGCTCCTTCATGCCTGAATGAGCTGAAATCGGCGTTGATTGAGAAGTGGGAAGGTATCCCACAAGAATCAATTCAAAATCTGATCAGGTCTATGAAGAATCGTCTTCGAGGAGTTATTAGGGCAAGGGAAGGGAACACAAAGTACTGACATTTAATTTTAAGGCTAAATAAATTTTTTATTTATTAATTTTTGTTGTTTTATGCATTCATTATTTTTCCATATTTCCTTTGTTTCCTACCTCCTTCACTTAATCCGGAATAGCTCCTTAACTACTGGCTCGATTTGAATGAATTTGGTATCAGTTTAAAGTTAAGAGTTCAACCTTTAAAATGATTTCATTTTTATGATTATCAAAAAAATATTTAGTACACAAGATCGCGCGGAATCAATTTCAAGTAAGTGATTCCAAACTTTTGCTCGCGAGTGTAGTATATGTGATAATATAATACATTTAAAAATATATTAGTGACTCACCCAACTGCTTCTTTGTATGCAACGCTAAACAGAGCAATGCCTACACCACCGCCAGCATGAGCCACTAGTTCTACAAATTGTCTTCTTCTACGAAAATATGCTCCAAGTACTAGGCCTGCTGCTTCTCTTACTAAGCCGCATCCAATGCCAAGTACAACCCCTGAGGATTTAGTTTACTCAATTAATTTTGATCGATTGATAAATTACTGGTAGCTTTACTGGTGGTAGGACCTTTTATGAGTACGCTCGGGTAGGTACCACCACCCTGCCTATTTCTGCCGTGAAGCAGTAATGCGTTTCGGTTTGAAGGGTGGGGCAGCCGTTGTAACTATACTGTGACCTTAGAACTTATATCTCAAGTTGGGTAGCGCATTTACGTTGTAGTTGTCTAGGGGCTCCTGTAACCACTAAAGATCAGGTGGGCTGTGAGCTCGTCCTCCCATCTAAGCAATAAACAAAAAATTTAAAGTCAAAGCGTTTTCTATGCAAGTATTCGGGATACAGCGTTGCCACTGAGAAGAAACCTAGGGCTTGATTTTTTCCAATATGGATATGTACTTCGCCACACAAAAATTGTACAATATTTTAAATAAGGTTTACATTACTGCGCACTAACCTAAGATCTGTTCAGAAGTTCCGTGTGGAGCACAATTTCAAACCGACATATAATAATAGTTTAACTAAGCTAATTGATTATTCAGTGAATATCTGAGACGTTGTTGATCAAAGTGTAACAGATTCGGTACAACGATCTTTTCTGTCTTCAAAAAGCAGTGTTATTTAAAATTTCTTAATTTTTTAGAGTTCCTAGTTTTTGTTTGTAGTTCTAGCGCTCGACGTTTCTAGTTACACTTTTTAATTCAGTGTATTACGTGAGGTAGTATTTTTTTCTAATAAAGATCGTGGTCAGTGACGTGTAATTGAAAAGACCTATGTCGAGCAGTGGACTGGTACAGGCTAATGATGACGACGATGACGTAATTTCTTCTGTAGAATAAATAAATCAAGAGTTTTCGATAATCTGTTTCAGAGTATTTCATAATAACGAAAAGTACACAGAAACCTTAAAGCGCTTTATTTGCAATTACATTTCCGTAAGTAATTCGTATTATCTCGTAAGAAATCCGTCATCGCAGGCATCCCTCCAAAGGATTACCGGGTACCTACGTCGCGGTGCTGTCAATTAAGAAATACTTTTGACTGATCATTTTAGGACTTTTTTTTTATTGCCTAGGTCTGAGGGTTAACGCGCCATCTATTTAATATTGATACTGCTATGACGAACGAGCCTTTTCTGCAGTGCTACTTCAACAATGTGTCGATTGTTGATCTTTTTTATTTTTTTTATGGTTGAGTTGGTGGACGAGCTCACAGCCCACCTGGTGTTAAGTGGTTACTGAAGTCCATAGACATCTACAACGTAAATGCGCCACCCACCTTGGGATATAAGTTCTACGGTTATCAGTATAGTTACAACGGCTGCCCCACCCTTCAAACCGAAACGCACTACTGCTTCACGGCAGAAATAGGAAAGGTGGTGGTACCTACCCGTGTGGACTCACAGGAGGTCCTACCACCAGTAATATGTTATGTTTATGATTAAATTCAAGTTGTTTTCTTACCGTAGCTTAGTAACGTTTGATGTAACTGTGTCGCGAAGGATGTGAAGAGGCAGGCCAAAGGTAGCAGTAAGCCCCCGAGTAAAGCCACGAGCCTTGGTGACCGTCTCCGTCCCGCTACAAGAGCACCGGCAGCGCGGGACACTCCCACGCAAATAGCTCCGGCCCACACTGTACCATAAATTCTAATTTATTAATGGCCGGTCTAGAATGACAAAAAAGTCATTTAAGTGAAGTCAATATGGTTGATTTTTGTTCGGTCGGTTAGTCATCTTTGGTATTTTGGATAGCGTAATTTCTGAAATCATGTAACAAATTATTTGGCTCTTTACGAAGCTAATGTTTATTTGAAACAAGAAAAGCGACGAAACACTAAAATACCGTTAAATTCACGAAAGTAATGTTTATTTAAAAAAAACGCCGTAATACCAAACAGCGTTAAAATAAATGAAGTACTCTTTCATTCAGTAAGCAAAGTACGTATCTTTATTACAATACATTCCAAATGTGTGTGTGTGTATAATGTGGTCCAATTTATAATACTATGACGCTATGAATCCTCCATTGTACAGCCCGTATTACATGAAAGGACTGATAGCACCAGATACGATCGTTGAAAATCAATAAGTTAATTGATTCGGTGGTGTAGGAGTTAGCGTCCCTGACTATTACCCCAAGGGTCGTAGGTTCGATTCCCACATTGAGCCAACTTTGTGTGATGAACAGGTTTGTTTGCTCTTTGTCTGGATGTTTACTACCTATATATGTAAATATTTAAACGTATCTATACTAATATTATAAAGAGGAAAGATTTGTTTGTTTGCTGGTGGCCCGGAGGCCTTTCCAGTTTCACCAGGACAGGTGGGCGAGCAAAGGCTCAGCCAGGAGGGGTGGGATTTGCTAACAGCTGCCCGAGCGCCTCCGAAGGAGACCTAACAACTCAAGAGTAGCTGCTTCGCGAATGAATCTACTACCGGTTCGGAATCGCGACCCGCTGAGAAGATCCGGCGAGAAACTCAGCGAGCTGATTCATGGGTTAGGTTGCACGGCGAACTCTTTGTCGAGTTCGACGAGTACGGTTACCGAGGTCCCTAAGCCTGCTCCTAGTGTTAGAGCTGAAGGCGTCTAATGCAAAGGTTATTGGATTTGATGGATCCGTAAGGACGTGTCTAGGGCGTCGACGGTGACTGGCTCCTGCGTGATCAGGATTCGGGGAGTAGTCAGCGGCGGCAACGATAAGGCGATTATCATGACGCATAGCCTTATCGAAGTACCGTTCCGACGCTGACTTCATGTATTTCTGGATAGATTCGAGGCCCAGGTCGTCGTGTAGGTCAACGTTCCTCACGAACCACGGAGCTCCGACGGCTAACCTGCAAAAGCGGGATTGTAGAGATTGGAGGGTGTCTATGTGTGTGCGGGCCGCGTGAGCGAACACCACACTCGCGTAAGTCATGACGGGCCTTATGCAAGTTTTGTAAAGTGTCACCTTGTTCCGAAGGGACATTTTACTCCGCTTACAGATCATGGGGTAGAGTCTACCGAGAATAAACGCGGCACGGTCACGGACTGATTTTATATGCGGGCGGAATGTCATCGATGCATCCAGGGTAACGCCCAGGTACTTGACCTTCCTGGCCCAGGGTATGGGTTGTCTAAAGAGAGTAATCGGTGGTGTGAGATTCCTCCTCCTAATACGGGAGGAAATCCGTGTGGAGCTTCCCCTCTGAAATAGCACCGCAGTACTTTTCGCTGGGTTGATGTCTATGCGCCATTTTCGGAACCACTGTCCTAGGGCTGCGCTCTGAAGCTTCTTCGCGATTAGGGACTTGTTTCTACTGGAATAGTAAACAGTCGTATCGTCGGCGAATAAAGCTAAATGGGTCGGCGGCGACCGGGGAATATCGTTAACGAATAAGCTAAATAGGAGGTGTGAGAGGACAGAGCCTTGCGGGACTCCAGCTGTGAGAGATCGTGGGGAGGAGCGGGTTCCCTCGACTCGATATCGAAAAGAGCGGTTCGACAAGAAGTCCCGTATGATGAGCGTCTTTTTGTTGAATAGGCTCCGAAACTACTGAACCGATTTGGAAAATTCTTTTACTGGTTGGAAGCTACACTATTCCTGAGTGACATAGGCTATAACCTTTTTTGGAAAAAAATTAGGGATCCTTACTAAAACTTCAATAATGTAACCCAAGGTGTAAAAAAAATTACCTAAAATATTCTTTACTTCGCGTGCCCTGCGAAAACTATTGATGATAGAATAAAATAATGCACTACGACTTTGAAGAACACGTTATTGTTTACAAAAAATGTCGCAACAGCATATGTCCAACTATTATACGAGTAGTTATGCTGCAATAAGTGTTCATTTATTTAAAAAATACAACAACGTCAAATATCGTTGAAATTTTTCTTAAAGACCCGAGCGGAGCCGGAGCGGGCCGCCAGTATAATATAAGTATGTTTGTCAGTCTCTGGTACCTAACACAGGGAATTCTAAATTGGGACCGGATGACCGTGCGTGATTTGTTCTCAGTTATCATCATTATTTATTAATTAATAATATTAACGGTACTTAGTGCATTTCTTAAATTAATACCCATAAATGCATTACGTCGAATGTGTATTTAGTCTAATGTATTTCGTTGTATCGTGCTTTAGAGGTAATTTGGAAAATATGTTCACCCATTTTCTACTTTCACGTAGCCCAATTACGGTAACAGCTGCGAAATATGTACATTGTTAGTGCTTCAGCCTTGAATATAGGACTCGCCAGTGGAGCAACCTCCCGATCCACTAACGGTACCTCAAGCACCGGTCACCGTTCTCGTCGAACGTCGTCTTGCGACGAAGGGCTCGACGAGTAAATTAACCCTCAGACACAGCCCACTGAGTTTCTCGTCGGATCTTCTCAGTGGGTCACGTTTCCGATCCGGTGGTAGATTCTGCGAAGCACGGCTTTTGCTAGGGTTCGTGTTAGCAACGTCGTCAGGTTTGAGCCCCGTGAGCTCACCTACTAGTTAAGGTTCCGCTGAAATAGCCTCTCAAGGCTATCAGCATAGGTAGGAAAAAAAAAGTGGAGCAATCGCGTCGCATCTAGCACTGGAGCTCAAAAACGTAAGATGAGTCAGCCATGTTTTCGCTGTATGCAAAGTAGATGTTAATTATTTTAATTTCCCTGTGTCGTCTTGCGTCATTTTACGCGGTTGATCTGTTATTAATAATAAAAAATGAGAAAAATTACATTTCATGTGTAACAAAGACGTTACTAACAAAACTTAAAATACCATTTAATATTATTTTGCCGTTCACTAAAATAGCAAATCTTGATGCTGATAGTTTTTCCAATTAGAATATTTTTCCCGACCTACCTAATAATTTTGTTGATAAATTTTGAGTAATCTATTCTATAAATCTATTGATTTATTTGAGTATCAAAATTGCTGACTTATGACTGAAAAAGTTTGGTTTCATTTATTTACCTAAATACCACATTAATTTAAAGTTTAAGCTTTCAACATTATTTTCGTACATTGGAGGTCCATGAATGTGAAACTTGAAGTAGTTATATTGCTGTTTAATTTTGATTTAGAAGTAGTCGGTAACTAATTATCGTTATTCAGTATTAACAAAATTTCAATTCGGAAATCGCTAGTGACATTCCCGGCGCACCGCCTACCGTAACGTTGACAACAAAGACTGCGGTCATAACCTAAATTGCTTTCATAATATTCGGACCGGCTTCATGAATCTTAGAGAAAATTAATTTAATAAATCAGGTCGGTCTAACAAATAGCGGTGACTCAGAAAGTTCGTTTACTTAATACTCGATCTTAATTTGGTCGTCAGAGCATGAATGCGTCGTGTAAACACAAGTTAGTTTTAATAAACGGAGGCGTGATGAAAAATTACTATTAACGCCTACCGTTCATAGAAAGTTATTTTAAGTCAGTAGATGGGTTGGCTAACCAAATTGGAGTTCTATAACTTCTTTAAAACTTGTCTAGATGAATTTGTTTGTGTTGTGCGTAATGCCATTATTCTTTTATTGACACTGGAGATAAACTTTTGTCGCTATTGTCTGTTTAATTTAAATATATAAATTGAAGTCGTCGTGGCCTAAGAGATAAGACGTTCGGTGCGTTCGTGTTGAGCGCGATGCACCTGTCTTCGAATCCCAGGCGGGTACCAATTTTTCTAATGAATTACGTACTCAACAAATGTTCACGATTGACTTCCACGGTGAAGGAATAATATCGTGTAATAAAAGTGAAACCCGCAAAATTATAGTTTGCGTAATTACTGGTAGTAGGACCTCTTGTGAGTCCGCGCAGGTAGGTACCATCGCCCTGCCTATTTCTGCCGTGAAGCAGTAATGCGTTTCGGTTTGAAGGGTGGGGCAGCCGTTGTAACTATATTGAGATCTTAGAACTTATATCTCAAGGTAGGTGGCGCATTTACGTTGTAGATGTCCATGGGCTCCAGTAACCACTTAACACCAGGTGGGCTGTGAGCTCGTCCACGCATCAAAGCAATAAAAAAAACCAGAGGGCTTCCATTGATAGATTACATTCCTAGTTTAAGAGCAACGTTACTAGCCCCAGCGACGTATATATTTTAATTAGTTTTTTCTTGAATCATACTTCTTGTCGATAAAAATCGAAACATTGTCCCTTGCGTGGTACGTTTCATTGAAAACATTCGTTTTTAATTATGATATGACAAAATTAAAATTATTTATACGATTTAATGTTGTGTTTTTATTTATTATAATCATATTAATTGTCGACGTTTCGAATACTCCACAGTTTTCGTGGTAACATACGACTGACGTAACTTGGTCAATAATAATTTGTATCATAATAAAATAATAATGACTGTAATAATCATCGTCATTATCCTGCCCTTCTCCCAGTCACCTGGGGTCGGCGCAACATTTTTTCTCCTTCCATACTCTTCTATCATATACCATTTCTTCGCTCACTCCCCTCTTACCCATATCGTCTTTCACGCAATCTATCCATCTCTTCTTAGGTCTACTTCTTCCTCTATATCCTTCCACATTCATAGTTAACATTCTCTTACCAACCTCAATTTCATTTCGTCTCATCACATGTCCATACCATCTCAGACGCGCACTTTCTGCTTCTCTGTCACCGGTGCTACTTTCAGACTTCCTCTAACATATTCATTGACTGTAATATGAAATGACTGTAATAATAATGAACATAATTTGTGCCTTACCGGCATGATCTGCGGTTGGTCCAAGGTGTTTCAAAGCGTAAACGTGTAGCGCTCCGTAAGCCAGCTGCAGTCCGGTTGACAATAAGTGTGCAAGAAAGGCCGCTCCACAAACGATCCATCTATAACATCGATGCTGCATTAGGGAAAATACCTGTAGTTTTCCATATCAATGTTAGATAATATTATTATATTATAGGTTCTATGACAATGTCTTTCGTTGTTTCTGTCAATCAGCTATCGAGCGTCCAAACAGACACCATTTCTTTTTATTGCTTAGATGGGTGGACGAGCTAACAGCCCACCTGGTGTTAACTGGGTACTGGAGCCCATAGACATCTATAATGTAAATGCGCTATCCACCTTGAGATACAAGTTCTAAGGTCTCAGTATAGTTACAACGGCTGCCCCACCCTTCAAACCGAAACGCATTACTGCTTCACGGTAAAAAAAGGCAGGGCGGTGGTACCTTTTTTTTTTCGGGTTGATGGCCGAACCTCCTACGAGGTCCCCGCGCAAAAGGGGCGCGCTGAAAAAAAAAAAAGGGCGGTGGTACCTACCCGTGCGGACTCGACAAGAGGTCCTACCACCACTAAATATTTGTCCTGGTTGTAAGTTATTTTTGATATAGAATAGTTTTAAAATCGCAATCTAATTTTAAACAATAAATTGTTTAGTTTATTTTCATGCCGACTCAGAAACATAACGAGATATTATCGGACGCCACCAGGAAATTGTATTCGTAAATTGTGTCGATAACCGAAGCACAGATTCGTTTATCGTTCAATCGATGAGTCGATCTGATCCACAAATTCTTATACGAGTATGTGTAAATATAATATATATATCGGTAAGTTACAGTTCGAGAATGTTTCCTTATTTCTGTCATCCTTAGTATTTAACTGCATGTAATTATGACATTATGAGGAAACTGGTGGTAGGATCTTTTGTGAGTCCGCGCGGGTGGGTACCACCACCCTGCCTATTTCTGCCGTGAAGCAGTAATGCGCTTCGGTTTGAAGGGCGGGGCAGCCGTTGTAACTATACTGAGATCTTAGAGCTTATATCTCAAAGTGGGTGGCGCATATATGTTGTAGATGCCTATGGGCTCCAGTAACCACTTAACACCAGGTGGGCTGTGAGCTCGTCCACCCATCTAAGCCAAAAAAACCCCTTTGATCTTGTTTTCCTTCAAAGGTATAATCAAGCTCATGTTTTGCAGATTCTGCGAAAGAGAAGTTGGAATGGCTTTCGAAGATATAAACTAATATTAGTTAATACGCCATTATATATTGCACTGAGGCTGTTTTATCTTTATCTGACAGTTAAGGAGCGACTGAGCTATTAAGAACGATTATGAATAAGTATTTTTGTTAGTGTTTCTATAAAGGATCTTAAAGAAACGCTAATTTATTATAAAAAAGAACATTAGAATTATAAATGGAATTACAGGATTTTCGAGTGTAAAAATGAATAAAGTTAAAATATATTTTATGTTTATATTCATGTTATAATATATTTTTTTATTTTATGAATATGCAAACAGAACAACTATTTATTATTTTTCTTAATGAAACAAGTATGGATAGTCAAAGGCGTACAATTTCTTCGCAGAATCTGAATTCATTATGAAAATAATATAATGATAACTCAATTTAGCCCCGTAGTTGTTATAAATAGCCTTATTTAAACTACAACAACAGATTAAAGTCTCCATTTTTTTTTATCTCGAACGAATACTCTGATCACTAAAATTTACAAAGAACATAATTCACAAGTTTAAGTTTGATTAACATTTTATTCGTCTTCGGTTGCTTTTTCAGAGCAATTTTCTTGACAAAAACTCTTCAATAAGTAGGCGGTAAGTCAAAGTCAAACGGTAGATATTCATTTTCTAAGTCTTATTTTATCGCCAAGCATAAAACCGAGCCAATAAAAAAGTATTCGTGAAAACTTTTGCTTGATAAAATGACAGCCGTTAGACGTTAGATTTTATGACAACACTCGCTTCCTACGATTTTTCTGTCTTCGTAGTAAATTTACGCAAAATACTCAATGTTTTTTTTTTCTAATTTTCTGATAATTCTTATTTGTATATTCTGTGCGATTTGTTAGTAGTTTATAACATATTTTGTATTAAGCTTTATTTAATTTAGACTGGTAGTGTTTTGTAAAGTATAATTTTAAGGTCGCATATTACGGGTTTCCTGGTATTTGGAAAATATTACTGGTGGTAGGACCTCTTGTGAGTCCGCGCGGGTGGGTATCACCACCCTGCCTATTTCTACCGTGAAGCAGTAATGCGTTTCGGTTTGAAGGGTGGGGCAGCCGTTGTAACTATACATGAGACCTTAGAACTTGTCTCGGGGTGGGTGACGCATTTACGTTGTGGATGTCTTATGGGCTCCAGCAACCACTTAACACCAGGTGGGCTGTGAGCTCGTCCACCCATCTAAGTAATAAAAAAAACGAAATGGCTGCAATTGATTATAAGAAAAAAAAATGTACCCCCATCCTCCCTCAGGATAGAAGTGGTGCTTGATAGCCCGGGTGTCGAGTTCTCTTCTCCGCAGCGCGGGGATGGTGCGGTGCAGTGACCGCAGCTCGCGTTCCCGAAGCGCTCCTCCTGTGGATTCCTCTTCCCCGTCTGGCCATCCATCTGAAACAGAAATCATTGTAGTATCTGAAGTACAAAAGTCAGCAGCGAAGCAGACGCGTATTTTTTTATTTTTTATTTCTTAGAAGGGTGGACGAGCTCACAGCCCACCTGGTGTCAAGTGGTTACTGGAGCCTATAGACATCTTCAGTGTAAATGCGCCACCCGCCTTGAGATATAAAGTTCTAAGGTCTCAGTATAGTTAGAACGGCTGTCCCACCCTTCAAACTGAAACGCATTACTGTTTCACGGCAGAAATAGGTAGGGTGGTGGTACCCGTGCGGACTCATAAGAGGTCCACCAGCAATAATTATCTGTGAAATTTGAGATAATCATGATGCAATAGAGTTGAGACTTCTGCTGCATTACTGAAGGTGGGGCGTAATTTACGTTGTGATGCTATGGCAACTAAAAATAACAGCATAATTCCATTTTCAAATAATATTAAAAAATATATCCACAGAATATATGGTTAAACTAATAGAGGCATACTTATTTTGCAAAACAATAGACATCGTCCATTTTTTCCGTTACAAAGGGACGTTACGTTATGTTGGTCATCATTCATAATAATATTGTCATTAAGCATATCGAGTAAGGGAAAATGTTAACAAGCTTTAGTTTTGATTCAGTGGGGTATCTTTATTCTCTAAGGACATGAACCGTGATTGGATACTTCCTGGTTACGTCACAAGCCCTGCAATAAATTTGTTGACTATCGATATCAATGATTCGACTTTATTCGTATTCGAGATTCGAATCAATCAATCCAAATGAAACAAAACAAAATATTTCTTCTAAGTACAAAGTTTATTCTTTTTCGATTTCTTGAATGTGATTTTCGTTTCCAAGAATCTTCGTGGAATATAATTTTAAACGATGTTACAGAACTGAATAATAAATGTTGTAGATTTTTGGAGTTTACTCCTTTAGAATCGATTTACATATATAGGCCCGGGGTATGAAAATTATGGGGACCAAAATCGTACTAGCATGTCACACGAAATGCGTTATGCGCCTGATTGGCTCCTGATTGCGTGATGCGTGCGCGCGCCAATCAGGAGCCAACGCGCGGCCGCGTTATCGCAGGTGACGCCGGGCTGCTGCGCCGGCAGTCCGCCACAAAGCCTCGTACTGATCGCGCGTTTCTCTCATTATTGTATTTTCATATATTTGTTAGTCGTTTGTTTTGTGTCTCGTTAATTTGTTAATAATCTGTAGTGTATCGTGTTGTCGTAATATAGAACTATTTCTCGTATTGTTTCGTTTAATTTTTTATATCCAGTAAACTCCAGTCGTGCGTCGGAGCGGACACACACACTTTTTTTTGTAAGAGATTTACTATTCTTGATTATTTAAAGACTGTTTTGGCCCACTGAAATAGGGTCGTGTATAGTTTACATTATAAATGATAATATCACGCTTCTGAATGCAGTAACGTGGGTATGTATGCTCCTGACATTGGTGATGTTGCCATATATACACTGTAATATATTGGATATCTGTAAATGATAATGTAGAAATAACCCAGTACGATAATTTGATGGACAGAAAAAAGTGTAATGTTTTCTATTTGAATACCTAGACCAATAACATTCTGTCACATAGATCTTATACAATCTTATTTAATCTGTAATACCCTGCATACAATGATCCAAACTGTTTAATCTAAACGGAAAGCGACATTCATTTTAATGTATAAAATATGTTGCTCTTTATAAACAATTAATTTTTAAATTACATATCAAAATAAAAATCTACTTCACTAAATTGTAAAACAAATGACATTTAAAATCTATTTTATAGTAGGTATATCGTTCACAATTCTCCATAGATTTTTTTTCTTAAGTCATATTTATTCACCTTTGTCACAGCTGTTTTATTGACAGACCAAATTTATGATCGACCCTGAGGACGTAATACGATTCACTTAAAATAAAGTGTAAGGAAACTATACTAAGCAACAGCCTAGTTTTACATCTGGCTTTGTATGTGTCCATAGGCAGAGGTATCCGTAGAGTGAGCAAAGTCTTACCAACTTCTTAGTAGTTCCAAAACACCCTGTATACAATATTGGTTTGTATTAAGGTATGTATTGTATTAATTTTTCTCGTCCCATCTAGTGTTTTGGAAGTCCACCTGACTATATTATAGGTATATAATACCTATAATATAGTCAGGTGGACTATATTATAGGTATTATAATATAGTCCACCTGACTATATTATAATACCTATAATATAGGTATTATAATATAGTCAGGTAATTTAAATCACTGTCGTCTATATATAATTTCAGTCAGTACTGAAATTATATATAGACGACAGTGATTTAAATTACCTGAATGCTTAACATACCATAACATAACATATCGGCAGAACTTATCAAAATTATAAAGTTTTTCGAAGCATCGTAACATTATGATTACCTGGCATCCGATAAGATCGGACATCAATTATTTGTGTAATATGATTTACCAATAACATTTTACCGAACCGATACATATAAACATGAATAAATGTGTAAACAATGATTTCAGTATTATACTCGTAAAATACATTTATTTACGCCCTTTTTCGCCTTTTACTTGATGATAATTGCATTTAAGGAGTAAACTAAAGGCTGCGTTGAAGCTCACGCGCAGTTTTTGATTTACTAAACTGGAACAACGACTATTAGTGTTCGGAAAAAACTTTTTAATTATATTTCTATTTTAATGTTAAGTAAGTGGTATCTAGTTATATCTTTGAATAAGGAACTGGACAACCCTAGATTTTCAATATTGTCATACAAACTTTACAAAGCGCGTTGGAAGTTATTTATTAGCCTCAATTCGTGTGACGTCGTTTGAGGCTAAAATAAACGACGAGATAGCCATAGATCGTACGATTAGCCGCAACCAGCTTTATGATCGGTATATGGATTCATATGAAAAAAATGGAGTTACTGATATAATTTTACTGTACTAATATCTTCTAATTTTCAATATATCTATCTCTCTTATTATATAATATCTCCCAATATTTGGCGGTTGGCAGCGACTTTTGTGGTAGGCAGCGGCTTGGCTCTGCCCCTGGCATTGCTGAAGACCATGGGCGACGGTAACCACTCATCATCAGGTGGGCCATATGCTCGTCTGCTTACAAGGGCAATAAAAACAAATATTATTTTGGTATTGTTTTGTCATTAGTGCCCGGTTTCCTTTTTAAAGAAGAGGTGTGAGGATTTGTAATTTAGCAGTTAATAAGTGCCTTACCGTAATGCGGCAAGCAGGTGTAGCTAGTAGAGAAGGGGTGTCGGCAGCGGCAGCGAGGCGGGGGGGCGCGGGGCGGCGGCGGCGGCGAGGCCGACGGTGACCACCAGCCTGCCTCCATCAGCCGGCCATGGCTGCACCCGCACCCGCACCCGCGCCCGCGCTACCTGTCGTTACAATAAAATATAATAATAATAATAAAGCCTTTTATTTCTTTTTTTTTTCTACCTAAGCTGATAGCCTTAATTTCTGACTAGTAAATATATTTATTATTTCAGACGAGTAGGTGAGCTTACGAAGCTCAGACTTGACGACGTTGCTAACACGAACCCTAGCAAGAGCCGTATTTCACAGAATCTATCACCGGATCGAAAACGCGACCCACTGAGGAGATCCGGTGAGAAACTCAGTGGGCTGTGTCTGTGGGTTAATTTACTCGTCGAGCCCTTCGTCGCAATCGACTGGTTCGACGAGAACGATGACTGGTGCTTGAGGTACCTAGAAGCACCGTTAGTGGATCGGGAGAATCCGAAATGACGTGTTTTGGGTGACGTCGACTGCTTTCCATTCTGTCCGCAGGATCGGGAATGTTTATTTCCCACACCTAATTAAAGCTTTCTTAAATATATATGATATTTACATATTGAGCTATTTGCAATTTTACACTTTTTTTTCAAAATAAACAACGAACTACATTACGAACTAGAACGCATGGTTGATATAAAGTAGAAATAGGCAGGATGATGGTACTAATGGGTGGGCTCACGTTCTACTTGTACTCAAAATACGAACTCGAATTAGTCGGTCGATGTCAATCCTTTTTCTTAAAAAAAGAAATACCGTTCATTAAATAAAGATATAGTGTTATTTATTTCTTAGCTGTTGTGTGTCACAAAGTAAGGGTGCGGCAAGTGCGGAAGTAACAGCCCGCGGGAACATGAAAGTTTTCTTCGCTGGTTCAAATATTACTTCGTGCGGTTGTCAGGTCACCTCGTAAACGTGCTTCCTCTCATATTTCTTGGAATACGTGAACAGAGTGTTCAATATGTTTTCTTAGTTTTGAACTTCTCTCTTACGATAAAGGCAACAACATATAATATACAAATGTCAAAATAAGGAACTTAACGCACGAACTTTTGGCATTTAATTATGCCCTTTTTGTCGTCTATCTTACGAATTTCGAATTGTTCATGAAAATAAAAATGTATACTTTTAGAATTTTACTCATTTTTAAATATGGAGTGGACGCTTAAAGAAGACCGTGTTGCAGTTATTGCGTTGCATCGTTGCGGTTACGCGCCAATTCAAATTTTTAACATACTGAAAATTTTGAATATAACCAAAGGATTCGTTTATCGTACCATCAAACGATACAATGAAGACTCTAGTGTAGATGACAGGTCAAGAAGTGGTCGCCCTCGGTCTGTTAGGACTCCAGCAGAGATAAAAGCTGTGAAGGCGCGAATTCAAAGAAATCCCAAACGTAAGCAGAAACTGTTGGCCCTTCAGATGGGGTTAAGCAGAACCACGGTGAAAAGGGTGTTAAATGAAGACTTAGGGCTTCGGGCATATCGAAGAAAAACAGGACATCGTTTGAATGCTCGTCTAATGGACCTGAGACTGAAGAGATGCCGCGCTTTGTTGAAGCGGTACGCGGGAAAAAAATATCGGGAAATTCTTTTTTCGGATGAAAAAATTTTTACCGTAGAAGAGAGCTACAACAAACAAAATGATAAGGTGTACGCACACAGTAGTGAAGAAGCGAGCAACCGTATTCCGCGTGTCCAACGAGGTCATTTTCCATCCTCGCTCATGGTATGGTTGGGAGTTTCTTATTGGGGCTTAACAGAGGTACATTTTTGTGAGAAAGGTGTAAAAATGAATGCAGTTGTGTATCAAAATACAGTCCTGACGAACCTTGTGGAACCTGTTTCTCATACCATGTTCAATAACAGGCACTGGGTATTCCAACAAGATTCGGCGCCAGCTCATAGAGCGAAGAGCACACAAGACTGGCTGGCGGCGCGTAAAATCGACTTCATCCGGCACGAAGACTGGCCCTCCTCCAGTCCAGATTTGAATCCGTTAGATTACAAGATATGGCAACACTTGGAGTAAAAGGCGTGCTCAAAGCCTCATCCCAATTTGGAGTCACTCAAGACATCCTTGATTAAGGCAGCCGCCGACATTGACATGGACCTCGTTCGTGCTGCGATAGACGACTGGCCGCGCAGATTGAAGGCCTGTATTCAAAATCACGGAGGTCATTTTGAATAAACTTTAGTGTCATAAGAATCTATGTTTTGTTAAGTTCATTTTGGTATATGAACGGTTACATAATGAATAAATTTGTTTCAATTATTTTACATTAAACATGTGACAGAATTTATGACCTGACTAGGTGTACAGCTAGAAACCAAGGAAAGTCATGTCAAATTCATATACAGCAAGAGAAGAGGACGTGCTGCGCTAACCCCATATGCCCCCACACAACACACAATGCAAGAAGGACAAGCAGACTTGGAAAAAATAGTACCGAGAATACTATTCGAACGCTAAACTTAGCTAATTCGGTACGAGTACACTCAGAAACATCAGAATGAAATGTTTCAAATATTCTATATACAAATTTAGATAATGTTTAAATTTACTTTTATCAAACATTTTACATTCTACGCATTATTTTGGCAAATAAATTAATCTCGTGTATCTATTATAATTTGTCTCGAATATTCAAAATTTTTTATCCTGTATCATTCAAGTTCCCGATATGTATGGAAGACCTAATACCATTTCGTATCTATTGAAAAAATCATTAACAGTGACAGTTGCTTTGAGTTATTTTTGCGGTAGAATTATTTGTTGATTGCGTTGTAAGGGTGGCGATGGGAGCCCACTTGAACGACCGCAGCTAGAGGATCCACTTGGCATACTTAATGGTTGTTAATGGCATTCACCGAACAAATATTGCCGGTCGAGTGTGACTTGCAAATTTGGTAGCGTAAAGTTTAACATAAAATATTAAAACAGCATGTTTTGCATACGAGCGACTTCAACCAAACCGGTATAATAACTATGAAATTCATGAACTGTTGTGTTGTGGATTGCGGCTTGCGGCTCACAAGCGTCTGTGTGTGTTAATCTAAAGTTTATGTTATTTCAATATTAGCTACACACGATATGCCAATTTATTATCGTTAAATTTTGCAATAGAGTTTGTGGGCGTTTATATTGCAAATATTGTTTCGGTTTTTTGTCTAGTTTGGTTCGATAATCCAGACTAAGCTACATAAATTTTTCGCGGTATCTGAACAGAAGCGGTTTCTTCGCTTAAAAAGGGTACTCTCGTATACCTACTACTGTGTCGAATTTATATTAGAATGATATAACCAATAGTTGTTATTAATACAATTTTGTACTTTAAATTTGAGTTGTAAATATTTAATATGGTCGAGAGCTCTACAAGCGGTTTAATATCTGTGTTTATCTACGTGTTTTTTTCATTTTCGATTATTTTACATTACCCCGAGTTCTCACTTCGTTGTAGGCAGCGGCTTGGCTCTGCCCTTTGGCATTGCTGAAGTCCATGGGCGACGATAACCACTCACCATCAGGTGGGCCGTATGCTCGTCAGCCTACAAAGGCAATAAAAAAAATAAAAAAAAGTATAATGATATCTGTATTCACCTTCGCATACCTCTGAATAATAACAATATGACAGAAAAAAAGTCGAATTAAATCACGTAATCTCTTCAATCACACTCGTAATACCGTTTTGTCAAATATTCAATTTTATTTGTTTGGTGGCAAACAGAACTGATAAATGAATTCGCAGCTGGATCTTGACGTGAAAAATGTCAACAGTTCGCTATCACAGCTTCCATCGACGGACCGAAGGATAAAGTTTCCTCTGGACTTAGAGAAATACCCGCATTATGTTTTAGTGTAAGTATCTAGTTGCTAGTTTATTGACAGCGGTCCAAATTGTTTTGTTCAGTTTATGGAAGAACATTTCCGTGGCAGTTAATGTTATTATTCAGTTACTATCAGAAATTACATAAACTATAAATATAATTAAAATATTTTTGATCGCTTGGGGTATAATATCGTGTTGCCATACACCAGCGTCGTTAATCCCGACTACCTAGACTTGCGACTTGCTAGAAATTACTTGAGTTAATATTATTAATACCTTACAAATGTTTTGGTTATTACTGTTAATTTGTAAAGAGACTAAAATAAATAAATACCACAGAGCAGTTTCATTTACGACTATCAGACAGATAAACCGTATTATCTAGCCGTGTGGAAACAGAATATCCCTGGCGAACTAGTTCCAATAGGAGTCAAGAACGTTTGGTTTTGAATTGCCTTATTCGTGGCTTTGACGAGTCCATCGACGTCCATCTCCGACGAGACCATCCCGATTTTAATAATCGCGTTTATAAACCAATTTTCCATGAATGAACCATTTCTAAAGAAATACGTTCGGCTGCTGTGGCTTAGTTTTTTTTCCCTATCCCGATTTTAATTGAAGGCTAAGTAAATATCAAAAATATTAATATGAATAAAATTAACACTATTGCCTTCAAACTTCCCACTAAGGTATACATGGTTTCTTACAAGATGATCGTGTGTCATTTTAGACATTAAATGCTGAATTGCTGGAGATAATATTATCATATTACAGGATATTCTAGTCTAATGCAATGTTGAACGGGATTGCAATGTTCCTTGTTAGAGTCGTTTCATTTCGCTTCAAAGCTAAGTAAATATCACTATACACAACGGCGGATCCGGGGGGGGGGGGGGTCATGGGGGTCATAACCCCCCCCCCCTGAGCTAGTTCCAGGACTTGAACTAATTTGGACTAATTGAAGAACATCATGATTTATTTATTATCTATTGTTATCAAAATTAAATTATAAGTTCTTAACTTGCCCACGATTATGTGACCCCCTCCTGGCGCCAAAGCTGGATCCGCCCTTGACTATACAACTATAGAACTAAATAGAATAACGACAATGGTGGACGTAATTAGGTACGTCATTTTATATACATTTTCTTTGGCGCCAGACTCTATTCAAAGAACGAGTCACATTTTAATCATAATTAGATCTCCATAGTGACGGTAAATTATTCCAAATTGAACACGAAATTATTGAGAGGATAATTACAATAATATTATAATTATTAGAGGATCAGATAAAAATTAAGATCAGGATAAAAGTGAACCATTTCTGTCTGATTATAAACTTTTAATTTTATAATAGGTATGTAAGTACATTTGTTTGGTTGTTCTGCAAACATTTTTTGGTCGCCATTTACAATTTTAGTCAGTATAAAATAATCAGAAGATCACATGCGTTCAAGGCCTTCTTACTGTCAGTTGAGCCATAGACATAATAAAATGTATCAGAGAACCATTTCTCTTCAAACATAGGAAAGGACGAAGTCACAATTTTCTCAAAAAGTCGGCAAATACGGTTAGGATTATGGTGCTTATTTTTCCAGCCAACAAAGCCAATAAATACCACTAGTGGTGAGTGATTGACGTCGCCCACGGACATCAATAATGCCAGGGGCAGAGCCAAGCCGCTGCCTACTGACTCACCACCACCAATATTTATTCACTCTGAGAAATATTATTCTCATAATAGAATTTCCTCGATACATTTGAGCTCAAAAAAGAACTTTAATCATGTCCTTTAGCTTCAGCAGTGTCCGATAGAACCTTCGTCCTAAATGCTTATCTGGCGTCGGGTTAGTTAATCTTTTAATTACAAAGTAGCACGCGCTAGCAGAATGAATGTTTTATGTTAATTCAATCGTTGATAATTTACATATGTTTGATTGTGAGTCCTTTAAGAAAATGTTTGAAAAAATCCCGACATATATTTTTCAAATAAAGGTCTTTAACCGCATTTTATTAGTTTAGAGTTTATTCTGTTCCAAAGACGATAGTAGCATCAGGGCTAATTAAATCACATTATTATAGAAAGGAAGGAAAGGGGGCCTCTAATATTTATAAAGTTTTTATTTATTTATTACTCAGATGGGTGAACGAGCTCACAGCCCACCTGGTGTTCAGTCGTTACCGGAGCCCATAGACATCTACATTCGTAATCGCGCCACCCACCTTGAGATATAAGCTCTAAGGTCTCAAGTATAGCTACACGGCTGCCCCGCCCTTCAAACCGAAACGCATTACTGCTTCACGGCAGAAATAGACGGGGTGGTGGTACCTACCCGTGTGGATTCACGAGAGGTCCTTCCACCAATAATAATTTTATCATACAACTGGTATTATGTGAGTTTTGGTATAACAATATACAGTTTATGCATAATAATTATATTATATATATCCACTCTTTGGTATTATGATACTTGGAATACAGTATAAGTGTGATTTGGTTGAGATATTTTTTGAATAAAAACAACAATAAGGTACACACAGAAGAAATGAAATCTTTAATTTATTATAAAAAAAGAACACAATATTCCTAATTGTCGAATTTCTAAACTTTAATTGAACAATATGCTATAAATTGAATAGTCGATTGTATACGATAAAAGAGTGTCAATCAGATAATTCTAATGCCCTACAGGCTCAGATAAGTCGATAATTCTTATTTTTAACACAACTTCCAAAATGTTCAAACGTTTGGTGTTAGCAAAGTTTATCTAAATGATAATTAAATTGTAAATAATCATGTGATATTTGAATAAGAGCGATAATAGGTAACTGTACCTGACGCAAGCGCACCGCTCCAATCCTTCGCTGACACTGTACACGCTGCCTCGCCTCATCCGCCACTCACTGCCTTGTTTCGTCACACACCACCCTCACGCATCCTTTTATATCACATTCGCATTCTCCAAATGTAGCATCCGACTCGATTTATTATTCATCAAGAGTCCAATTAATGTTTCGCTTCATTGTAAACGTGAGAACTCAAGCACTCGCTTCGGACATTTTCATATCTGCAAGTGAAAAGACATTCGCATTGTTTTAAATTATTCAAGACGGAATCAGCCTGTTTATGTATTCCAATGAAGCCTCCCATTTGAGTGGATAGACACATACTGACGTAAATAAATTTGGAATGGATACGCTTTCATTGCAGCTTTCGTGGATCTTTGAATCGTGGCTGAATTTCCGCAATATCCCATTTTATCTAATGCCTCTTTTAGAGGCATTTGTACGAAATTCCACGTGACTGAATCACGTTATATCGAAAGCGATTGTGATTTAACAAAAATCGATGTTTTGTTTTGCTTAAACTAAGCTATGGGATCGATGTCTGCAATGCTGTGCATTAATAACTTGGTTTTTTTTTAAATATAGGTAGCCTTGAACCTTGAAACTAGCATCACTGAACGTATAGGTAAGCTCATGGGTATCAGACTGACGAATAAAAAATGTATTTTATTATGTCTAACCATGCGATATAGCTAGGTATAGCGCGATTCAGAGAACTAATTACGCTATAAAATCTATTGAATATTGAAATAAACGTACTTATAAACGAGATATTGTGGCTTTTTTATAAAAACGTTAATAGAGAAGAAAAAAAGGGAAGTAAATTATAAAACAAAGATGATCGAAATCTATTTAGTAGTTTTTGCACGCAATGGCAGACTTCGTTATATAAATTTTAATAAATTAACTACTCAACAATATCAAGTACAATAGAATAATGATTCTGGATAAGAGATAATTCGATATTACACTTTACAATAACCATATCGGCAATTTGTAAATGATAATAATAAAGTGCCTTAAATGCCATTAACTTTTTTTTTTTTTCCTTTTTTTCTACCTATGCTCATAGCCTTGAGAGGCTATTTCGTGGGTAGGTGAGCTTACGGGGCTTAAACCGGAGTGCTGCTAACACTGACCCTAGCAAGAGCAGTGCTTCGCAGAATCTACCACCAGATCGGAAACTCGACCCACTAAGAAGATCCGGCAAGAAACTCAGTGGGCTGTGTCTGTGGGTTTATTCGCTCGTCGAGCCCTTCGTCGCAAGCGACGGGTTCGACAAGGACGGTGACCGGTAGTGCCTAAAAGCACCGTTAATGGATTGGGAGGATCCGTAATGACGTGCTTTGGGCGACGTCGACTGTTTACCATTCGGTCTACAGGATCGGGTATGTAGTTTGCAGCGGCCACGACAAGAGGGTTCTCCTGTGGTGCCGCCTTCTCGAAGTGGCGTAATGATGCCGACTGTAGATACTTGCTGATAGAGTCGAGCTCCAGGTCATAGTGGAGATTCACGTTCCTCAGGAACCATGGTGCTCCGACGGCTATCCTGCAGAATCGGGATTGAAAAACCTGAAGGGGCTTCAAGTTGGTGCAGGCCGCGTGAGCGAACACTACGCTTGCATTCGTCATGACGGGGCGTACTAGGCTGCACTAAAAGTATCGGGAATGGAATATTTCCACTGTTCCTGTCATATTAAAATCTTTTTAATTGAAAACTCCTTGGTTTCAAAAATCGAATACCATTCATTTATTTAAAAAAAGATTCTCGGTCTTGTCACGAGGTTTTGTTTAGTCGTTGAGAAAATGGAATTGACTCGAGAAAATTCAAGAGCGATGGTTTATTATGACTTTCGAAGTGGTTTAACACAAAAACAGTGTGTTGACCGGATGATTTCTGCATTTGGTGATGAAGCCCCATCCAAAACCACAATTTATCGCTGGTTTGCTGAGTTTCAACGTGGACGTGTCAAGCTCAGTGATGATCCCCGTCAAGGTCGTCCAAAAACTGCAGTCACCCAAGAAAACGTTGATGCTGTGCGTAAGCTGATTGAGGAAGATCGACATGTGACATACCGCGAAATTCAGGCAACTTTAGACATTGGCATGAGTCAAATACAAATAATCTTGCATGAACAATTAGGTGTAAAAAAGTTGTTTTCCCGATGGATACCGCATTCGCTCTGTGAAGAGCAAAAAGCGGCTCGCGTTACTTGGTGCGTCAGAACTCTCGAAAGATTCCACGCAGGATCCTCAAATGCTGTATACAACATTGTATCAGGTGACGAATCCTGGATATACGCGTACGAACCCGAAACAAAAAACCAGTCACGAGTTTGGGTGTTCGAAAATGAGTTAAAGCCAACAAAAATTGTTCGTTCACGGAGTGTTGCAAAAAAAATGGTGGCCACGTTTGTCTCCAAAACCGGCCATGTTACGACTATTCCTCTTGAGGGACAAAGAACGGTTAATGCAGAATGGTATGCTAGCATTTGTTGATTTCTATACTTTCCCTAAAATAAAGAATAAATTGCGTGGACAGAGATTTTCATCACCTAAAGAAGCTGTGGACGCCTACAAAACGGCCATTTTGGAGACCCTAACTTCCGAATGGAATGGTTGCTTCGATGATTGGTTCCATCGTATGGAAAAATGTGTCAAATTTCGCGAAGAATACTTCGAAAAGCAATAAATACATTTTTAAATAGTAATGATGTGTCACTTCGTTAATTCCCGAAATTTTCAGTGCCGCTCTCGTATGCAAGTTTTGTAGAGTGTCACTTTATTTCGAAGGGACAATTTGTTTCGCTTGCAAAGCATAGAGTAGAGACGTCCTAATATAAAGGCGACACGGTCGCGTACCGTTTTGAGGTGGGGACGGAATGTCATCCCTCTGTCGAGGGTGACGCCTAGGTATATGACCTTCGAGGTCCACGGTATGGGCTGGTCAAAGAGAGTGACGGGGCTAACGGCGGAGGTGTTAACGCGCCTATTAGGGAGTGGGATGCTCGAAGTGGTATTCGGAAGGCGACCCCCTTTGAAGAGCACCGCTGTGCTTTTCGTGGAGTTGATGTCAATGCGCCACTTCCGGAACCACTGCCCCATGGTCGTTACTGCGATCTGGAGTCGCCGATGCAATAGCGACGTTGAAATGTGTTAGTATCAGTAATTGATTTCTGTATCTTAACTTATTGCTGTTGCTATAATAGTGCTATTTGTAGCTTTCAGTACTTCAACTTAATTCAAATATAATCTTCAACGCGAGTTTTAATTTGTATAAGATAAGATATATAAGATCTGTTAACATTTTCCTTTCAGATTTCTAATTGCTATTCCATGATCTTTGTTGCTGTTAAGAAAATCCTTTGTTTGTTATACGATGAGTCTGAAGGTAATTAATACTTCATAATAATAATAATACCACAATGGAAGTTTTTTAAGGGATGCAAACAAGTGTGTTTGAAACCAATCAATTTCGCTGATACATTACACTTAAGTTGCAAATGTTGTTATATAAACGATCTAATGACAAAAGAAAACTTTTCGCCTTTTTTCGTAGCCTATCATTTTTTCATAATTAGGAAAACAAAGAACACGGGCTATGTAATATCAGGCTTGATAGAACTGGTTCCAGTTTCCTTGATATCTCCTTAGTGAACAAGATTTCAATTTCAATCTTGAGAAACTGCGTTCCATTTTGGCTATCATGGGTTTTAGATCTCTTAATAGCGGGAGCAGGATTTTTTAAAAATTTGTCTTCCAGACTTATCCCACAGAGGCTCTATGAAGCTTAAATGGTTCATAGCTCTCCATGAAGTAGATTTGATCATCTCAAAAGTATTCGACAACTAGTATATGTAGGTATGAAGTATGTAGTAGGTACTTAGTAGTATCATTCACAAAAATAAAACTATCTTCTATGAAAGGCGTAAATGGCATTACATTTAATGACTTTTTTATTTCTTAGATGGGTGGACGAGTTCACAGCCCACCTGGTGTTAAGTGGTTACTGGAGCCCATAGACATCTACGACGTAAATGCGCCACCCACCTTGAGATATCAGTTCTACGGTCTCAAGTATAGTCACAACGGCTGCCCCACCCTTCAAACAGAAACGCATTACTGCTTCACAGCAGAAATAGGCAGGCACAAGAGGTCCTACCACCAGTAAGTCTTCCAACATTTCAGTTACATATCCCAAGAGTCGAAGAGGCGAGGATTTTTTTGTTCAGCTCCTAATTTAAATTTTGATGATAGTTTATATAATCTAACAAAATATTCAGATAAAACAACGTTATATTTTTATTTTTATAAATTATAAAATAACACACACTTAAAATTGTACGTCAAGTTGGCGTGCTTTCCGAGAAAATTGTTCCCAAAAACCACATTAAATATGCAACAGATGCTGCTGATGAAGTGCTGATGTAAAAGTAATTTAACGCCAAGCATTTTCAGGAGCATTCGCCTCGAGGACACTTTTAGGATGTCTTGTATAAAATTTACCGCTTTAATAACAGTATTTCAGAGTATTTGAAACTATAGGACCAATCAGATTACATTCAACTATGAAACAAGTTTACTTAGTAATTAAATTAGAATTGGTATCTTTTTGAAAAAATAAATATAGCATTGTTTCAATTAAACACCCTATCTAACTTTGTCTTAATTCAATAATAAGAACTAGTCCGAGATTCGAATAACAAGTACCTATCTGGCAGTCAATTTGAGCTGCTTCTTACGATTCTGAAAACGTGTAGATTTGTTTCAAAGCATTTTCCTTAAGCGCTTCACAGCTGTGTAATTTCAACGTTATCGCGAATAATTGCCTACTTAATTGTTTTCATTCTCGATTAAATTACTTCGCAATTCTAATTTTAACAATGGTCTTTACATAACCACTTTACAGTAATTCGAAATGTTTGCCATTCGTTTTGAGATTGTTACGGAAGCCACACAAATATGTACAGTTTTTTTTTTGTTTTTTTTTTTTTATACTTCCTAAATTTGGAAATCACAAGTCGAGGAACAATTGTATGGTCGGAGTGTTATTAAAAATGAGTTGTGTTTGTTTCGAAATAAATGTTCTTGCTGACAGTAAAAATATTTGTTTTCATTAATATTATCAAATTAAACCGAAGCTAAACGATTAATCTGGTAAAATGCCTTTAGGTCTCATCCGAAGACATCTGGACGCTTGGCTTATTTATTGT